GGGGACTGGGCGTTGTTCTCATATAACCCCAGTTCTCCGTCAGCAACCTGGCAGCTCTATTCTGCACCAATTGAAGTATCTGGACCATCTTCAAGGGTAGCCCCACATAGAGCACGTTACAGAAATCTAATTGGGAAGTTACCAGCACATGTGTCACTGTCACCAGGCAGTCGTTCTCCAGGAAGGGACACAGCTGATGTATCAGCCGAAGCTGAAGGAAGGCGCTCCTCGCCACCGCCGTCACCTGAGCTTCTAGAGACAGCTCAGGGTCGAGGAGCACTCCTAAGCTGCGAACCCTGCCTCTCAGAGGGAGTGCAACCCCATTTAGGACAAGGCCCAAGTTCCTCATTCCGAGGTCCGAGCCACCCACCAACAGGATCTCCATCTTGTCTGGATTGAGCTTCAGTTTATTGGCCCTCATCCAGCCCGTTACCTCGGCCAGGCACCGGTTCAGCACAGCCACTGCTTCACCTGGATTGGCTGAAAATGAGAGGTAGAGCTGGGTATCATCAGCGTACTGGTGATTCCGCAGCCCACACCTCCTGATGACCTCTCCCAGCAGTTTCATGTGGATGTTAAATAGCAAAGGGGACAAAATGGACCCCTGCGGAACTCCATGGCATGTTGACTTCAGGATAGAGAGCCATCTATGCAGGCAGTTTCTGACTGAGTGGGGGAAACGACCTGATGAAAAGAGCAGGGATTTTGGAGTCTCCTATGCACTCCAAAACTCTGGTCGGTTGGGGAGAGGAGCTTTCCAATACAGTGAGGAAGCTGGAGCTGGAGGCTACAGAAAGAGGAGGAATCAGCAAGGGTCATCTCCTCTCCTTTTACCTGTAAGCATTCTGGGTGGAATTCCAGAGCTGCTCCAGCTGGTAGAATAAAAGCTGGTGGGACCCATCCCGTTCTACATTTCAGCTTATTAAAATGTATTTTGATGCAAGTTGCAAGCTGCTTCAGACGGTTTCAGTTGTGGAAAAGGGAGATCTGAATAATTTTAGCAAGTCTATTTATATAAGCTGATGTCTGTGCTGAAGACAGACTTCCTTTTGTCTGTCAGAACCAGTTCCTGCCAAGTTCATTGGGTGACCCCAAGTTCTAGTTTGATGAAAGAGGAGAGGGACAGTCTTCATGAATAGTGTGGCAGGATGAATTTATGGTGACACACTTCCATTTCCTTAAAAGCTCCCACATACATTCTTACCTGAAAGTTACCAAAACAACTTCCTCCAGGCAGGGTGACATAACTCACAAACGGAGGCCCAGGGGAGTTGAGAGTCTCATATACCATGATGCCCTCACTTGAAAACACGCCTTTCTGTTTCTGTTTGCTCTCCCAGAATTCCTGAAGCATTGCCACCACATTCACTACCAAAAAATAAAATAAAAATGGCAATATATTAGTCACAGTTTGTGGTGCACAATATAATCTATTTGCTATACAGATAAAACCAAGCCAGAGAGATAAATATCTCTCTGAATGAATGAAATTGCACCTCTGCATTGAACAATGATTGCTTTGGGATTTAGATTAGACAATAGCGGATACAACCCACTGGAACTCTCTATGTTGCAACTTGATCCTGAACTCTAATACTCAGGGTCAGAGGCTTTTCAAGGAAACAGAGGTGAGGTTAATGTATAGAATTAATTCATTGTTTCTTGTACCTGAAATCTGAGGGCTTAATCCTCCAAATGACCAGGTTAGAATCTGAGGATTTAGCTGTGTGCACAGATGACTGATTTGTGTACACAGGCCTCTATTGCCCCCTTAATATCACCAAGCCTCCACATATTTATTTATTGATTGATCTTATAGACCTCTTCAATAGATCTATTAGAGTCTCTAAGAGGTTCACAATCAAAATAATCAAAACAGATAATAAAGTAATCAATATACATATTATAAATATAACAGATATAACAGTGTGAATATTAATCTAAGTGTGACGAGTTAAAATAATTTAAAAATTAACTCATAATAAAAAGCAGTTATTAAAATGTCTGGAAATTAAAATGGTTTTTGCTTGGTGTCAAAAAAATTTGTAGTGAAGGCACCAGGCGAACTAGGGAGGTTATTCCATAAATGGGGCTGATCACTGGGAAGGCACCTATTCCGATTGCCATCCTCCTCACCTCCTTAGAGGATGGTTCTTTTAGAAGGGCCTCTGAGCCTGATCTAAGGGGACAGGTAGGTGTATATGGGAGAAGGAGGTCCTTCAGGTGTCCTGGTCCCAAGCTGCTTAGGGCTTTATATGTCAAAACAACCACTTTAAATGGCCCTGCCCTATCTTTCCTAGCCAGAGGAAGTTCTGCTGCTGGTCTGTGTGTAGAGCTCAGGAATGATATTTAACCCTGTTAAATAATCCTATTAAAATCTCATGAGTCCAATTACATGAGGGAGACAGCAGGGCCATGTGCTTGCCCCGCACTGACATTGCTTCTCATGCTGGTCCTTCCTTCATGCTATTAATGTAGGAGGGGAAGATCTGGAATGGGGAAGACTGGTCCAGTATGCTTATGCTTATTATTAGTATTGTTACAGTGCTTTTATATGCCACCATTTTTCCTCTTTTGAGGAACCCAGGGCTGCTTACACAGCTGCATTTTATCCTCACAATAGCAATGTTGTGCAGTAAGTTGGGCTGAGAGTGAGTAACTGGCCCAAAGCCACCCAGTGAGCTTCTGAGTCCTCAGTCCAACACTCTGACCACCACACCACAAGTATGGCTCTAATATGGCTTCTCTGTGATCTAGAACCCTGCCTAGTCAGGATTTTAGATGGCAGGGTGGGTTTCATCACTGCAAAATTCCCCCCACCCCTCCACCACGCACACATCCTGCCAACTTCCTGGCAGGAAGACCTTAGAACTAGGAGTGATCTAGAATGAAGATCCTGTTGCTGGTTCTACTGGTTGTGAGGATCACCAGGAGTCAAAGGATGCTGATAACACTCTTAAGTCCACCACCAGAAGCAATGCCCAACATGTAGCCGCTTGGCACTTGTAGAAGTGATGACTCTGGACTGGTCCCATGCCCCTGCTCCAGGCCCACTAAGAGAATTACCTGGAACAAAGGCAGCAGCATGTCTAGATAAAAACCTAGAAGCAGAGGTGCAGACCTATTTATATGAAGGGAGCTTTAGACCCATTCCTATGAAGGAAACATCTCTGGATCAGGATCCTAATGACAAGAATGTGTGGCAATGGCAGGGTGCAGACAACACGAAAACCCACATTTAAAGGTTGAGTGTGACTTATCATTGACTCATAGATTTCTGTGTTGTCTGCACTCAGTTGTGCTAACAAGCCATGGTTTCTTAACCACAAACAGTACACAGTTCTGAACCCAGCAACAAACCATGGTTTTGGTTGAGGCCCCATCAGTGAGGGTGTTCAAGGATAGGCTAGACATGCACATGGTAGGCATGTTGTGAGTGGAGCCAGCTAGAGTCGGGCATCAGACTAGATGGCCCAGGAGGCCCCTTCTGACTCACTCTGTTTCTATGTTTTCTTCATGGTTTGTTAGTGCGGCTGGGTTCAGCATGATAACCAGTTTCAACCCCATGCTTCAACAAAAATTCCATCCTCAACCCATACATAACCATTGAGTCAGGGTTCTGGCATTTTTGTAAACCAGCCAATACCCTTTCCGATAAAGCTGCCCAGCTGGTGCCTACACATTGCTTGGTGCCTGCTCCCACGGGCCTCTGTATTGAATATGTCCTCTGATAACCTTCCTAATAACTGAACTTGAAGGCTGCTCCTGGTCAGGAAGGAACTGACCTACAGAAATGGGACAGGCTAGTAGAAGATGTGACAGGAGCCACACAAGTGCTCATGTATTTATTTAAATATGTCAGTTTTATGCTCAGTTCATGGTATAGCTAATTTATTTTGTTTAGAATTTGTAGTATTCTGTAAGCCGTCCAGAGACGACAGTGATGGACGGCCTATACATTTCCTAAATATATAAATAATCACACAAGGGGAGAAATAACAAAAACAGGACTTCAGTTATCAACACATGTGTGCATCCTGAATCCAGAAGTCAAGGTTCAGACAATGCTCATTTTCCGTACATGAGAAGACAGTGTGACACAATTCTACTGACTGTTGGAAGGTTGATGAAGCGTACTAAATAAGCTCAGGTTCAGAGAGTTTGCTGTACTGTAGTATTTTGGTTATTGCTATGGGCTGAACCTAGAAGACTCTTCAGTATAGCATGATGCTACTGGAACTTTACTGGTTTATATTTCATGTAATCTTTTTCACCAGTCACAACACTGACGTAGCTAGCTGAATTTCTATAGAAATGAGACAAACATTTATAAAAACATTCTGGCCCATAGTGAAGGAAAGCTAAATGTATTTAAGACCATGTAGATTTACATTAAGATAAAGATTTTAAAAATAATTCAAAATACATATTTATTTTATATCCCCTTCTATCTTGTGGGTCCAGTGAAGCTTATAGATTTTATTTTCTTAATGTATCTGTCCCCAGAAGGCTTGCACTCTAAGGAAATCATCTGGCATTGGATATTAAGGAGGCCTGAAGAAAAAGGAAGAATGACATATATATCTCCTATTTAAAAAAAAAATCTGTAACATTCACATCGTACCATAATCAGTCAGTCCAAAAAGACATCCAACAAACAGTGGGCAAGTTTGTATAACACAACAAGCTACACGGTGGGGCAAACCACGCAAGGAGAGGCTGTCAAAGTGCTCAGCAAATCAGGAACGCTGGCTGTGGAGTCCCCCCACTGCTTCCCCTGTTCTCTCATAGGTCACCCAGGGCGTACCATGAGAGCAACAAGGTTCCCCCACGGTTCCCTCCAGTGCTTGACAGAAGTTCTGGAGAGGGGTGGGATGGAGGGTCCTCTTCCCCCAGGCACACTCAGCCTGAGGTGGCAGGTGGGTACAGGGGAGAATTGGCTGGCCGCTGCCAATCCTGCCAGACAGCAGCAGCTACGGATTGGCCACACAATTCTACAGCGCTTAGACAGCCTCTGAGGCTGCGCAGGACAGCTTCACTTCTCAGATCTGAGGTCAGAGGCAACTCTCTGACTGCAGAGCTGGGAAACTGAGCTCCCCCCACCCTCCTTTTCCCGGCAGCCAGTACAGATGGCTCTGCACCAGCTGTTCCCCATGGTCAGGAGAGACTGAGATGGGGGCATTTCAGGGTTGGGGTAGGAAAGATACTGCAGAGGGATGATAAAATCTATTCTCAGCTTCTTCCAGCCTGCCTTCTGGCAAAAAATGCACAGTAGGAGGACAGGGGGTCAAGATCACCCACAGCTGCTCCTTCTGCTCTGATTTAGATGATAGGGAGCGCCCAAGTTTGGCGGCTTCCAGCCATCATCGCAGGAATGTGCTCAAACATGTTTTTTTAGACTAAAAAACTAAAAAGCCTGGGGACATGAAGAGGACTGCATCTGGTGCAGAAAATACTACGTCATGGGTGCCAGGCGAGTGTCCCTGGTCCTTTAGTAGGTAGCCACTTGTGAAATGCCTATTTGTTCAAGAAGGGCTAAAGATTAGGCTAGTCTGGCTAGGAAGCAGAGCTTTATTATGGTGCAGTGGCAGGTGGACTGATTGATCGACTGATCGTATTTCTTGCATTATGTACTGCCTTTCCGGGACTAGGCAGAGTAGTTTACTGAAAGTTCAGAACATAAAATCCACAATCAGATAGGAGCATAATGCAGTCCATCCCAACCCAGCAGCCTCCAGATGTTGTAGATTTCAATTCCCATGATCCCTGAGCACTGTTTAGGTTAGATGAGACTGATGGGATTTGTTCTGCAAAACAGATGGAGGCCATCTAGCTGGAGAAGGTTGACTTAGTAAGGGAGTCAGTGTGGTGTAGTGGTTGTAGTGACAGACTGGGACTCAGAAGATCCAGGCTGTAGTCCCTACTTGGTGAAGTTCACCTGGCGACTTTGGGCCAGTCACTGGTTCTCAGCCTAATCCATCTCAGAGGTTCTTGTAAAGATTAAAAAGGAAGAGAAGGACCATGTAACTTGCCTTGGATTCCCTTTTTACGAATTATGAAAAAAACATTAAATTCCATAATGCCAATTTTAAAAGATGGAATCAGATGCATTTTTTTGTGCAGAAGAAATAGATGGATCTTCACTCTCTAAAGCGTTTCTCCTCCTTATGAGCATCACCAGCTGCAATTGGGGCACCAGCTCCAATGGTGACCTTTGGCAAAGATGCTGAGATTGGAATGGACTGTGCAGGGAGCAGTCCTCAGTTGCAGGATGATGTTTTGGAGACCCATTCTGGAGCTCTAAAATGCACTGTGGTTCTTCTTTTAGCTTATCAATCCTCCTTTTTCAGCAAAGCCTTATGCCATCA